AACCACGGCAGGCGTTATATCGGGTACAGTGGCTATGATGCTCACGTCATCAAAATGCGGTTTATCGGAGTTCATATTCAGGCCAGTACACACTTCTTATCCTCGGTGAATTATCTATACATGATTTCCGCGCATTATACCAAAGTATATAGTTAAATTGTACCTCACGAGTTGTGAAAGAAAGGCACCAAGTCGCTCTGCACATAAGACTAGATAAGAGGCCATGACGCGTTCGCCCTCACTTGCGCAAACTGCGTAAGCGCTTAGGCATCACTTGTGAAGTGTTCGTGGCACGAAAAATGTAACAACCAGATTTGGGGGGAGAGTCATCAATCAGCCAAGGGCCAACAGATGAGACCACGCGTACAATACGTGATGACAGCCATCCAGGTATGAAGGCAGGCAGTGTGCATACATATACAAAGGCGACTGAGAACGACCAGCCTGGCAAGCAAGGAAATACAGTGCTGTGCAAGGGTGCGCGGATCGGGAATAACAGAGGGAACTGATCATCTCCGAATGTAGTAGCTCGAGTGCCTTTTACCTACAGATTTGCTCGGCGCATACGCAAACCTTGTGGTTCTGGTACTCAAGATCCATGTAGGCGCGAGGTTAAGAATAGATAGCCATCGACCCACACCTGCACGGAGGTCCGTGCCCTCGGGCGCTTGCGTTGCTGGCGAGAACGTCGTGTCCAATCGACTACATCTTGTAGACGCCCGCTATCTTTAGTGTATGAAGCCTACAGGATGAGTCCAATCATCGGCATCTATGTATTACCATCCCTGGGTATCGGAGGGGGTCATCATTGTTCCTATTGTATCTCCCTGTCCGAAGCGCTGACACCACTCCTCCCAAGGTCATAGTATACCCACAACAGCATCAGCAGGCGCTCACTGTAGCGGTTGAGATCCGTGCGGTTCCGGGAACAGCGCAAGAATGCAGCTATGCGCAATCAGAGCTGGATGGTGGATATTGCTGCATGCAAGAATAGCTGACCCCGCATCCGACTGGTCGAATGCCTACAGGTCCGTCTTAGTGCGTCGAGGTACAGATTGATTGGGGCATGAAGTACAAAGACGCTGTATCTCCTGCAGTACTTCCAAGACTCTAGCTTGAGACGTTTCGTGATTCTTGTCGTGGGCCGGTGCTATAAGCGCATCGTACTTTGTTCTTCCTTGACTTGCAGCTCACTGGATTTGAGCATCTCTCAATACTCGTCATGGCGTCCTTCCTCCTCTACCTCTCCGCAACTGTGCTGTTGGCTCAGTCAACAGTTGCATCAAACTGCACAAAGAAGCCGATATATGTCGATATACACAAGCGGGCCGTTCATGACTCTCCAGTCTTCCAGTATGGATCGTTCATCGGACTCGGAACACCAGCACAGAACAACAGCCTTTGGCCATCATTACAACAGAACCATACCTCCTTTGCATCGAGCGGCTACTGCAAAGACAATACGACACTCAAAAACTGCGATATAAGTACAGGTGGCTTCTTCAACTTTCGAGATTCGACAACGTATGTTGCTTGCTCTCTGTGACCACTCCACCGATTAACATATGATGTAGATTTGAGGAACAGGAGAACTTCCAGACACTAGATAAATCCCAAGACAAACTCTCGGGATTCTTTGGTCAAGAGACCCTTCGACTGTACACACACTACTTTGAAACGGATGGCGCAACACAAACACTTGTACCAAACTCGACTGTCGAGGTTGCAGAGTCAGGATCAATAACCCCAGGGAGAGTTGGCGTCGGCGCTTCATCAACGTTGCTGCGGGACCTCGTGGTGCAGGATATGATTGCTGGATCAACATACTCTCTCTACATTGGTCACGGTTTTGATCGCGCTGGAGGTGTAGTCAATGGCAGCAACGTTTTTGGAGGATACGACTCTGGGCGTTTCACGGGCGAGCCACACAAATACGCAATGAACGTGGCCAACGCCAACCCAATGAGTGTCCGTGTCAAAGATGTCATCATCACTGGAACAGCTGACAACTCAAACACCTCGCTTTTCGACAACACAGTTTTCACCGACATGAAGTCGCGCCCCGAGGACTTTGAAGCCCAGATCACAACGGAGCAGTTCCCCTTCGCCCTACCATACCAGATCACACAAAACTTCATCAAGCACCTCAAAGCCGAAAAAGACAACAGATGGGACGACAACTCACTGAGGCTCAAAGACAGCTTCAACGGCACACTTACGATTGTCCTCGACGACGGCTTCACCGTCACGCTACCCCCAGAAGTCCTCATGAACGCATCAAACATCACCCCAATCCAAGACCGCGACGAAGACGCAAACACGCCCTTCTACCTCGGCACCGCCTTCCTCGGCCAGGTCTACCTCATGGCCGACTACGAATCCAGCCACTTCTACCTAGCCGAAGCCATCCAGAAAAACAACGTGGTCATGCCCGTAACTTTTTGCCCTAGATCCGTCCCCGTCGCTTACCAACGCCCCAAGCAATCCGAATGGGAGCGCCAAGGTCTCATCGGCGCAGTCATTGGCGGCGTCATCGGCGGACTGGGTGTTCTCGCTGCAAGCTACTGTATCTGGGTCACTTGGATGCGCAAGAAGGACGAGCGCAAACTGAAGAGGGAGTTGCAGCGAAACTCGCAGAGGAAGCTCGAGCAGATGGAAATTGAGGAGGCGGCACCAAAGTTTGACCCTCCGCCTAAGAGCGTGAATGCAGCGAAAGCAATGTTTTGGCGGAAGAATAAGCCAGGGACCGTGTTTTAAATCTCTGGCGACCTTCTTTCCATTCTTCTTCTAGATAGTTTTCTTCTCTCACTGTTATACCCTGGACCAGACACGATTCTGCCCGTCCACATACTATTTCTCTTCTTCTCACTTACATAGCTTACATGTCACTTTCACCCTTTTTTCAATTCACAGCTTTACTTTTCCGCCCCTTTCAATCCCAACAACGTCCCTTTCCTTCCTTTCCCAATCCGGTATCTCCCATTGATTCCTGCCCCCTCCACTCGCCCTACACGCGCACAGACCCTCCCCCCCCTCCACCCATTCCATTCGCAAAATCGTACGACATTCCCGAACCAACCATACTTAACCGCCCCCCGCATTAGGCAGTTTCGCACCCCAAACCGTGGATTACGGCACTTGAATCATATTTTCTTTTTTCCCTTTCCCTGGTCGGTTTGCGGGCACCCTCTCTTTTAGGTTAGATAGAGGTTGCGGGGGAGAAACTTGCCTGTTGGGGTAATGTGTTGATTGCTGTTGCTTATTTTTCTTTTGTTTTTTTGGGGGGTAGGTTGCTGTTTTGGGTAAGATTTGGGGGCTGTGGATTGCAGGGTGTTTTACTAAGGAGGGGTGGGGAGGTTGGAGGATGGAGGGTTGGAGGGTGGGAGGTTTGGGGTGTTTGGGGTGGCTGTGGGAGGTGAAGGTGAAGAAAGGATGGAGGTATGCGAAGAGGGTGTTCGGCGTTGCGGTTGTTAATGTTTGCATAGAGAGATGGGTTTGTCGATGACTTGGGATAGAACTTGCGATAGTAACACAACGGCCATGGTGCGACGGAACCGCTGCAGGTACATGATGGGGGTTATACACATTCCTCCTTTCATTTCAAGCCTTATAGTATTCTTGTAAATGCATCTCAAACCCAAACCTTGCTGTCATCCCTTCCACCTACATCTTGGACTCTTTTTCTCTCCAATCCGCAACTATATTGAGTGCGTAACCCCACACCAACAATGACACGCAATCGGTCCAGCTGCAAACGCAACATAAAATTTCGTACCAGGACACTAACCCTCATTTTCAGTTTCCGCCATCAAACAGACAAAATCATACAATCTGCACCTTACCTGAACTGGACATAGCAGTGCACAACCTTCTTGATCGTTTGTGTTGCAGGATGAATGCTCCAACATGGGATTAGTAAGGGTTTTCGATATTATGATTTCATAGAAATACCCATTTTGCCAGTTTCAGCTTGCAGCGGGTGCGCTGGATCCTTATTTCGGCTGAGGCTGGGTCGAGGAGGAGAAGTGTGAGGAGCGCTGTTATGAGGGGTGTAGAGTGCATTGTAGATGAATGTGATGGGACAGAGAGTGTCGAGTTGGTGTTGTGTGGCAAAAAGGGATTGACTGGGTTAAAGGCATGAGGTCAATTGAGTATATGTACAATGTTGAACTGGGTAGATTGGCGATAGGGTATTATCTATATAGAAGTGTGGTACGGGTAGAGGTAGGGTCACATATGCCATGGGTAAGAAGTGGGCTTACGTCAATCAATACGTCTTCACTACTCCTACCCTCTCATCAGTCTGATCTGATCCAATCAGCATTTTCTCTACCTACATAAGTTGCAACACATTGATGTGAAGATCTGTGCCCCCTAGACCCTCTCAGTGTAGCGTGTCGCAAGTAGGAGTCAGAATGATAGTGGGACTCAGTCTGAAGACGAATCATCAAGAAACTTATGATTTTGGATGAGAGGGTATATACACTCGAGACAGTGTCCATGACCAACCCAGGTGTAAGCCAAAAGAGCTTCGGGGGTTCTGTAGGTTAACTTCGAGTATCGTGACGGTCAGACCTCTTCAGACGAGCCCAGGGAACTGTGTTCATAGGAGCAATAGCTTAGGTTTACAATGCTTCATATTGGATGAGTGTAGGAAAATATCCTTGCTCTTCTTTTCGCTGCTAAGATGGCGTCGCAATCTTTGTGGTTGTATGAATTTTCATATTCCCCAACTTCAACGCTATTTTGGGAGCATTTGGACAAACGCTACGGGTGATGAGTGGTTAAGATTAGATACAAGGGACATTTTTGAAAGCAAAACCCCCGTAGCACTAGAGCAACTCACCCACATTGTGTTGCCAGGAAGGAGGTGTTGGTACCAAGACGATAAAACAAAAGATGAGCAGAACAAGTCACAGTGTCCCTATAATCATGACTGCATCGCGTCATGTAGTTGTTTACAATATGGTACATATTTTTGGATTATAATCTTGTCAAGGTCATGAATCGGGCGAAAAGCTAAAGCCGAGCGGTGTAAGAATCTTGTCTTGCACGACCTTGTTGGCTGCTTCGCCGCCTTTCTCAAGCGCCACCGCTCCAACAATGGCATATAATGAAGTCATAAGAACGGATTCAATACCGGAACCTTGCAGGTTGTCCGCCTGTTATCTATTAGCCATTGGACCTGCTCGATAAAACATGAGTTACATACCCTCCTGGGCTTCCACCGAGTAACCTTATCCAAACCATATTTCTCTGCTATTGGTGCTAGCCGTGACTTGTTCAACACTAAACTCTCCGCCTCGTCGGTCAAGCCTTGCAGTCCGTTCAAGGCGGGGTGAAGGTATGGTTTGCGGCCAAATTCGTCATTCATGGGCACGCCATTCGAGTCCCTTGGCCATTGATCTTCTTGTGGTGAGTTTATGAGCGCTTGTGATGTTTGTAGTTCGACAATCCTCCGTCCTGGCATCGGTATTAGTTTCCTGCCCGACCAGCCTTTTCCCATACACACATACCCAGATATGCTAGCCGGTCGTTGAAACCCCGCTTTCCGTGGTCAAAACTCTTGTGTGTCACTGCTAGCCATTTAACCTCCTCTCCTAGCACCTTATCGCCGCCAGGGCCCAACATGCGCACATAGGCATCATCTAATCGCTTGGGATCCTCATTGACCTTGAAAATTCCACCTTTTGCTTGAGGCCGTAGCCTGAAGGGAGCCACCATTCGTTGGGGTGTCTGTTTCCATCGTGGCCGTTGTGCAATCTCTGTATCGTTTTCGGGCGCGGCCTTGGCGGGTGTGGTGGTTGAAAATGCGCATGCGGAGGTCCGCACGATGGAGGCTTGTGATGGACGCGCTGAACGTAGGGACGACGAGGCGGTCGAGACGAGTGACTGGAGAGGCCTTTTGGAAGCCATTGGGGGTGTTTGTATCGGCGGAGAAGGCGGAGAGGTCCGATTGGGGCGGCCAGTCCAGGCGCTGGTGCTGGCGGAGGTGAAGTTCGCATCATCGAAAAGTTGCGGCACTCGCGGCGCCTTGCCGCAATCGTACTAGTTCCGGTCGCGCATCCGCTCCCCCATCTTCTGCCCCCGATACGCGACCTTCTCCCCTGGTCATGCTTCTGTTGGGCCAGTATGGCAAGTCCTGGTGCCTCCGGCTCGTTGAAAGAGCTGCTGGCTGAGCAATTGCCAAAGGACGTTCCTATTACCTTCTATCACTACTCAACTCCACCCTCCAAGTCCTCCGCCCTCTTCTCCGCACCTCCCCATGGCAAGTCCGAAAAGACGTACTGCGAATCGCATACCTTGGCCGCCTCTATTATCCCCAAGGATGCCGTAGCCTCAGATTTTCCTGAAGAAGTTCTTGTTCTTGCCATTGAAATCTTGATCTACACTACGAGAAACCTCACCACCATCTTTGTTTCCAAAGCCGATTCCACGGGTTACCTCTCTGAGCTACAATTACCGCGGTCGCAATCCTCGTCACCCTTGAAAGTTATATGTCGCACCTTTGTGTCTTGGCTTGCAAGAGAAAGGCAACGGGAAGGCAAGAAACTGGTCATATCTCTTTTCGCAAGAGCACAGGACCAATATCTGTTTCCTGCCAGCATCGAGAACAAGAAAAAGCATGTGCTGGACGACAGGGGCTTGGTAAAGTGGTGGTGCAAAGTCCTGGATCCGATCATCTGGGAATACAAGGCTGAAGGGGACCGGAAGCCCTTTCCCCAACGCCTAGTCGAGGGCGAGCCTACCGAGACAACCACCCCGTCATCGCAGACAGAATCTACGGCGAGAGGCTACCTAGTGATCCCAGGCTTCGAAACGTACGACACTTTGCGATATACCCCACCAAGCCCTGCGCCAAACACACCTCGACGGTGGGCTGCTGCCCATCCCCTGCTTCAAATAGCTCCCCATCCTGCTGCTCCGCCGCGCTGCCTCGTTCCTCATTTCCCAGACGACCCAAAAGCTAGATTTCTTGACGAATTAGACGAAGAACTTCCAGACCGGGGTACAGATGCTATGGTGGCTGATGGAGGTACACCCTCGAGAAGCAACGGACAATGGAAGAGTGTCAAGACGCTTGACCAATTCTGGGAGTTCATGGCATTCAGACAAGAGTGTTCCTCAGGTCGGATAGTGGGCTTTATCTGGGTTGTGATCACACCGCCAAAGCCTTCAATACCCGAAGAAGACGATGATGTGCTTTCGCAAGAGTCCTTGTCTCAACCACTCTCCCAGAATAACCCCCAGAAAAGTACTCGTACCCCTAAACGCCCAAAGACGAGCCAGCGGAAGAAAGAGGCCAAACTGAAATATGGACCTATACCCCTCGTTCTACCCAAGATCAAGTTGAGGTCGTCACACCTGTCGACTTCTTCGAACACGTCCAAATCTGGTAAGATACCTCCTGAAACCAGTCCCTATTGGAAATGGCCTGCTTCATCACGTGGAACCATATGTTTTTCGCTGAAGAATTACGACCGTGCACACGAAGTGCTACTGCAACAGACGTTTGCGAACCGTGCTGCTGCAGCACGAAGTACAAAGAAATGGAAGGAGGAAATTGCTGTGTTGGGTGGTGTAGAGGACTGGGGCTTTATGGTCACAGGAAGAAAAGAGTTTACGTCTACAGATACCCCCTCAGGTGCAGCGAGCGGTGTAGCGCCAACTATAGTCATGGGTGTGCGGAAGAAGAGAAAGCCTAATGGGTCAGCGGAGGCAGTGAACATGGCGCAACAGGCGGTGGAGCCAGTGCAGGAATTAGGGGCTGACACAGTCCGCAAGAAAGCAAAGACTGACTCAGTCCCGCCGACTGATGCAATTGCTGCCAACGGGGTGAATACTTTGACGGCCGGATTGGTACGCAAGAAGCCAAAGGCGTAGGTTGACCATACATGGGAACTGGATGTGATACTGGATGTCGATTGGCTTCTTGGGTTCCTCTGATATTGCCCTGGATTGGCCGTGGCCCGTGAATTTGCATAGCGCTGGCGTTTCCTTGGTTACGCACTCAGAGTTTGAAATAATGAGTATACGTGTTACTTTCTGATCATTTGATGACGGCAAAGAGGTCTGGGATGCTGCATCTGGACAATTGGTGGTTGTAGCGCGCTGATCTCAGCAAGCAATTTCACCGGCGGTGACGTCGAACAGGTACAGGCCGCCTTCATTTCCTACGACAATACAAAGGCGCCGTCTCTCCCTCCCTTTCCTCGCCCTGTACCTGCGTTGTCACTAATTGTACCCTTTTCGAGGCACCTGCGTGGTGTGGTCTTGGCAAGCTGTCACTCCTTTACGTAGTCGAACTCCGCAACCTCCGCGCTCCGAGATTCGTCAACATCCCACACTTACGTATACGGTTCCTGCAACAATCTTCGCGCATGCTTCGCGCGTCCGACCCTGCGATTCGAGACGATGTCTCTCAGTTGCGCTTTATTGTCGCGACTGGCTGTCTAATTTGGTGGGTGGTAGTATGGAACGTCTGCGCTATTGGCTTCATCCAACTGTTCCGATACTACTGGAAGAAGCCACAGCTAGCAACATGCGTGACCACATTGGATGAGGAAAAGGTGCCTCATGTTACAGTCATACGACCGGTCAAGGGTCTCGATCCACGTCTTTACGAATGTCTCGCGGCCACCCTCCGCCAAACGTACCCCAAGAACAAAATAAACACCGTCTTCTGCGTTCCCGAACGATCCGATCCCGCCTTTCCGATTCTCGAGCGCCTATGCAAAGACTTTCCAGATGTCGATGTACAGATATTGGTTGAGGAGGAAGACCCAATGCTACTCAAGAACAACAATGCATTGGGACCTAATCCAAAGATTAGGAACATGAGCCGCGCTTATAGGGAGGCCAAGGGTGATATTGTGTGGATACTGGATTGCAATGTTTGGGTTGGCAAAGGAGTCTGCGGCCGCTTGGTGGACTTGCTATGTGGATTTGGGGAGGGCAATAACGGGAAGAGCAGGAGAAAGTACAAATTCGTGCATCAGACACCGCTCACGGTAGACCTCGACTCGCAGGATCTCTCGCTCAAGGACAGAAAGGAACTACTTGGAGGGAAACCAGCCGTCGCAGCAACATCGACGAGCATTGCGGCAACCACTTCTTCTGATCCCCGCAACCATTCCAGTAGCACCATAAGTAAGCTCCTCCAGCGTGGTGGAGGTCGGCTGGACGAAGCCTTTATGTCATCTGCACATGCAAAATTCTACCAAGCCATCAACACAGTCGCCGTAGCCCCTTGCATCATGGGCAAAAGCACCATGTTCCGCCGTTCACAACTCAACTACGTTACCTCGTCAAACCCAGACCGCGCCGCCGGTATCGATTTCTTTTCCGACAACATCTGCGAAGACCACCTCATCGGCGACGCCCTCTGGAAACAACCCCAAGCTTTCGAGCAGCCCGGCTACAAACCTGAACCAGGCAAGCAAAAAGAAAGCTGGGGCAAACACGTAATGCTTTTCGGCGACTTCTGCTTTCAACCCATCAGCCATACCTCCGTCGCCGCCTACCTCCACCGCCGCATCCGCTGGCTTCGCGTCCGCAAATTCACAGTCACACTCGCCACATTTGTCGAGCCAGGCACTGAAAGCATTCTATGTGGTGTCTACGGCGCTTACGCTCTCACCACACTACCTTTCTTCACAAATCTCGGTATCCCACCCACGTGGCTATCTTTCTTCCTGGTCTGGTGTGCACATATGGCGGCGTGGTGTCTGGTAGATTACATCCAGTACCTCCTCCTGCACTCTGCCAAGACTGTAGAAATCGATGCAGACACCCCGGATTTCGTGCTTCCACAGCGTTCGGCGTCGGCGTACCATCGGTCTACGGACGAGGCTGCGAAGCCTTTGCTTAGCAAGGATAAGGCAGTCTCCGCCGAGCCTAGCTTACTGGATGGCGCGAGACGAAGTTTCAAGGACTTCTTCTTCGCGTGGTTGGGTCGTGAGGCTTTTGCGCTTCCGGTGTGGATCACGGCGTTCTGGGGCGGAGTCACGGTTGAGTGGCGGGGAAGGAAGTTTTGGGTTGGGCTTGATACCAAGGTTCATGAGATTCTGCCCGAGGAGAAGAAGAAGAAGAACAAGAAGACGGATACTAAGAAGTAACGGCGTTAGATACTTTTGTATCTTGCGTAGTAATAAACGTTCCAAGCGTGATTTTGTAATTATCAACCCGTGCTCCGTGTGATGTATCTGACTACATTGTCTTCTTCTATTCACCACTAAAACACAAGCAAGGAACACGTCAATCATGGAAGAAAAACTTGGCTCAAAAAAGAGAGCCCCTCATCGCATTCATAGTAAACTACCCATCGATTTACACCTATAAAAAAAAGCCGGAGCGCTGGAATACATTTCCTCATTTCCAGAAAAAAAACAGAACGCCCGTCCTAAAAAGCTCATGACAAAGGACTGGAAACTTTGAAACCCGTGAATCCCAGTTCTATCTAGTAAGTAGTAGTTACCAAACCAAAAACAACAATAAAAACAGCATGTACGTGTATATAATTTGCGCTCGCTAGAAAACATCAACAACAACGAACGAACAAACGTATATATCTCTAGTTCGTCTTTTCTCTATACAAGCCTGTAGGACCCGCAGTAAAAGCGCCACTGAGAATCCTCTTAAGCTGCTCCGGCCGCGTCTCCGTTACAACGCGGTCACCATTCGCACTTGCGGTACTGCGGCGACTCAGCATAGTGCCTGTGCGG